CAACAGGCTTAGACTAGACTTACCACTGAGATAACACACTAAACTTCTCTAAGCCTGTTTGCACTTTTGAAAAGGGAGAAAGGTGTACTGACCCAACAGACTAACATGTGATGATTAAGGTGACAATGACTGCAAAGCACCCATGACTGTGTCAGTCCATAATACGTACCTAAGAAAAGTCAACTTCCAGGGTACCTGGGTGGCTCAGTCAGTTAAGTGTCTAACTTCAGCTTTGGCTCAGGTCATGATCTCATGGTTCATGAGTTCTAGCCCCATGTGGGACTCTGTGCTGAAAGCTCAGAGCCTGGAGCCTACTTTGGATTCTGTGTCTCCCTCTCTCTCTGCCTCTCCGCTGCTCATGCTCTGTCTCTCAAAAATATGTAAAACATTAAAATTTTTTTTTTTAAAAAGTCAACGTCCTTGACTTGAGGTGGTTTTTTAAAATTTATTTTTATTTTAGAGAGAGAGAGAGCGCGCATGTGAGCAGGTGGAAGGGGTAGAGAGAGAAGGAGAGAATCTTAAGCAGGCTCCATGCTTACCAGAGTCCAGTGTAGGGCTTGATCCCACGACCCTGGGATCATGACCTGAGCCCATATCAAGAGTTGGATGCTCAACTGACTGAGACACCCAGGCACCCCTTGTTTTTCATTTAAAATGCTCAACTACCATGGAGAAGTGATAAACAAGGCTGAGAGAGGGAAAATTAAGATGAGTCTGGAGTATCTTATCTTGTGGTGCCAAAAAGTAAGGAAGTCTTCAAAAAAAGATGGGGCATGCTGAAAGGACACAGAAGTCAGTCTCCCAGGGGATAGCTAGGGCAATCTGAGCAACAAAATTAACAACAGTACTGGATTAGAACCCACAGCATGAAGTAAATACCCACCAGTTCACCTTTATACAAATAAATAAATGATTAAATAAACATTTGGAGAAGCAGGGACAGCTATATATTACAGAAAGATTCCAAATAATAAAGTCAGAAGAAATTTTGCAGAAGAATAGAAATTTTAGAACACCACAGGAATAACTTCCACAGTAAGGGAGAGATATACCAACAGGTGCTGATATTAGTGAGCAAAGTTTGAGGAGAAACAAGATATCCATATAGTTTCAAAGAATTTCCTTCAAGTTATCTATTAATTACAAAGAGAAAAACAGTCATTTGTGGGAAAGCCCAGCAGACACCATCTTAATTAAGCGATCAAAGTTAACATCACTAGTCATAAGACATGCTGACATCATGCACCTCTTGATATAATGCACTGAAAAATGATAGCACATCACTTCCAAGTAGTCTTCCACAATCTAACCATCAGAAAACATCAGACCAACCCAAATTGAGGGACAGTATACAAAAAGCTGACGGGTCCTCTTCAAAAGTGCCAGCATCACAAAAGACAAAGAAAGAATGAGGAATTGTTGGGAGACTAGCCGAGACCAAGGAGGCATGACAATGAAATGCAATGTGTGATCCCAGATAGGATCCTGGAACAGAAAAAGGAAAACCTGGTGAAATCCAAAAACAAACCATGGGTTAATAGTGTTGGACCAATGTTAATTTCTTGGTTTTGGTCATTATACTGTAGGTATGCAAGTTAATCAACATTAGTGGAAACTAGGTGAAGAGTAAATATAAAGTCTGTACTATTTCGCAGCTTTTCTGTGGCATATTATTTCAAATAAAATTTTTAAAATAAAAGACATGACTATGAGTGAGGGTCAAGTCTGTATCACTTTTCTATGTACGACCCAAACACAAGCTACAGTGAAACATCCCCAGTCACTGCCCATGCTGATGACCAACACATGACCCATGCAGCCCCAAACATCTGTGCCACTTAACTACTCCACTCTTGCCTCAAAGATCTTGGAGAATCCTGAAGTGACTATTTTTTGGGGGCCGGGGGAAGGGTGGACTTCAAGGAAGATTACTGGGGGAATGTTTTTTTGCCCATCTGTTTCTTTCCACACAAAGGGAACTAAGGGTACTCTGGGCCTCTCTCAACCTCTAGTCCCTCATCCTCAAAGGAGTGACCTGATTGGTTAATTTGGGAAGAATAAAGCAGACGCACATTGTTCATCTGCTTTCTTTTCCTTCTTGGGAGTGAATGGCTTATAGCAAATAGGTGTTCTGCCATGCTCCTCAGGACAAGAAACTTCCCCTCTTTGGCCTTTATGGACTGGGTAGACCAGCTCATTTGGAAGCCCATTTGACATTCACCCCAAAGCTATTCCCTTCAACTTAGTCTTTCTCAGTTACTATGGTGATATTTTTGCCCTCGTCTTCCCTGTTCCCTGTTTTATTTCTCAGTATGCTCAGAACCCGGGTAAGAAGAAAGGCTGATAACCAGTGCGCACTCTCTAGACCCTGCCAGGTTCCATGTGCCCCAGTCTACGTGGTATCCTAGGACCTAAGTCTGTAGCCATGATTCTCTCTGAAGTTGGGAAGCATTTTCCAACTAATCTTCTATTCCAAATAGACTCTGGACTTTGAAAATCATAAACAGTAATGACTTAACATTGTTTTTTGCTGGGTGAGTTGAGCTGCACTGGGGCAAAAAGAGGATCAAGACCATCATACCCCCAACCCACTCCCACCCACCCCCCCCCCCACACACACACACAGATGTACGTGGGAATTTGACCCATCCCATAGAGTATGGGACTACAGTCCTGTTAGGACACACTGGCTCTAAAGAGGTTTTTAAAATGAGCTATTTTCCTGGTTTTCTCACTTTAGTCTCTGCCCCAACAGTCAATTAAATAGAGGCATAAAGCATGTGTTCCTTCCTTTTTATGGACCACAGTGCATTTATCTTTTCCAACAGTTTCCTTTGTGTCTGCCTTCTTTGCTGGTATAAAGATGGAAATTTCTCAACAGAGCCTTTAAAAGTCCATTACTTTCACCCCACGTTGTACAATTTAGTTTTAAAGTCAACTTCTATGGTAAACTGCTACTTGTGTGAATGCCCGTCTGGGAGTGAGACTAATCCTCCTCTACTCAAAGAATAACCAACACTTACTGCACCAGAGTTATGATTACATCACAAAAAATATTCTATGCAGAACTAGGAAGAGCTCCTCAAAGAAAAATGCTTGGAAACGGGTAATTGGAATGAACTATATGCATTTTCACTGAGCTTTGAAAGAAACTGTGAGAAAAAAGATCTTCGATCTGTTCCCAAGTATTTTTTTTTCTCTTAAAGAACACCATGTGAGGAGTTTTGACAGTGTCTGCATTCTAATGGGAACATCTCAGGAAGAAGAGGCTTATCTATATTTGTGCCTTGTTACTGCCATGATGGACACCATTTATCAGGCATAAAGAAGGGAGAAAACCCAGAAGGGAGTTCTTCTCTGGACAGTTTTGTGTTCTGGCTCTTAATTACTTTTCCTTTGCCATGAATGTGAATATTTTAAAAGCCAAAGAAGCCCCTCCATTTGAGCTACAGATGGCCACAGGAACCAAATAAGAATACGAACAACCCATTTTAAAAGGCAAAAAAACAAAAACAAAAACAAAAAACCCAAAAAACAAAAAACCCTCAAAAAAACCCCAAAAAAACTCAAAATTCAAAAACAAGGGAAGTGCCAAGTTCCACACTGCACCTCCAAACTGATGCCAAGTCCATCTTAACCATACTGCTAGGACCGGAAATTGACAGTAATGTTAAGGAGCTGCAGTGACCCCGAGGGTAAAAATAAACATGTCTGTTAAAACAAGCACCACCAACACCAGAAAATAGACATGAAACAAGATGCCACAGGAACATTCTTTTTCCTTATAACAGGGATGTGTTAACTTCATTATTCAGAAACCTTTGATTACCCTTTTCAAAAGTTTTTTTGGTTGAGTTTAATTTTCAAGGCTGTTAACCACTTGATGCCAACTTAATTATAACAAGCAAGTAACCAACCCATAATGTATGAGGCCAATTGTTAGTTTTACTTTAGCTTCACCTTAGGGTTGGACTTCTCTGCTCATTTGTAACTTCCTGAACCAGGAAGGTTCTGTACAGTCACTTGCTTTTCCTCAGCTGGTGTCTTTGTTTCCCTGTTTGCCATGGAGGCTTGGGGGAATAGATATTTATGACTTATTATCTCAGTATTAACAGCGCCCTTCAATAATTTATGAAACTGGGCTCTTGGATTTTTAACCTTGAAGTCCCTCTGATTATTGTTCTGAAATGCTAAGGGCTCAAACTTTAATCATCAGAATCTTGCACAAAAATTCACTCAAAGGTAGGAAAAACAGGGTTGCTGGTGGCATGATGGGTCCAGATGGGGTGGGCCAGGAACACCTTATTCTTTAACCCTAACTTCCCTTTCACCTGTTGCCAGAACATGGCATTCTCTTCTATAGAAAATATCCTTGTTTGGGGCACCTGGGTGGCTCAGTCAGTTGAGTATCCAACTCTTGACTTTGTCTCAGGTCATGATCCCAGGGTCATGGGATTGAACTCCACTTCAGGCTGCTCACTGAGCATGGAACCTGCATAAGAGCTTAAGATTCTCTCTCTCTCTCTCTCTCTGCCCCTCTCTCCTACTTGTGCTTGCTAAGAAAAAAGAAAAATATCCTTGCACTAAAATGTAGTTACACTCTTATATCTCAGCATTCAGTAAACCCAAATATTCTGGAACATCACAGACATCTTGAATTAAACTTCAGGACATCACTTGCTAGTGTGTGTGTTTCTTTCCCTTTCCAAAATGTGATAATCATTTAGGATGACAATGCATTTCAGTGTTCACTTTAGGCAAAAGAGAAGGTGATGTTCAGGAAAGGGAATTATCCCTGTTCTTTCTCTAGGGGATCCTGGAGGCATTGTGCCCGATTTTTCTGATTTTGTGCATGGATTTCTCAAAAGGTGATTTGGCAGACACTATAGCTGGCCACCCAATAGCCACCCTCTACCATCTTCCTTATAGCAATAATGACTATGAGACCATGTTCTGACCAATAAAAAGTAAGCAGAATTCTCTTGGGGAACTTGGGGAGAGTAAAGCTGAAGATAAAAGCTCCCGATGCTATTCTTTCTCTTTAACTTAAACAGAGAAGTCACCTTGTGACCAAGAGGTAACAAGTCTGACAGCAAAAAGCCAAGACGCTTAGGAAGTGAGAGGGCAAATGAAGAGAACCGTGTCTTTGATGGCATCACTGAGCTATGGGAACAACTCCAGGACCACCTACATCCAGACTACTGGTTAGGTAAACAATAAATGTCTTTATGGCTTAAGTCCCTGTTACTTGCCACCAAAAGCATTCTTCAGCAATCCAGAAAGTGACGTCTGGGATGCAGGTAAGAGAAATCTGCCTGCAGCAATGGCTGGTTTATTCTTTTGAAACTGTGCCCCATAGACTAAAGAGGGGAAAGCACAGTGCTTTATTTATTTAAATATAATTTACTGTCAACTTGGCTAACATACAGTGTGCTCTTAGTTTTGGAGGTAGATCCCCATGATCCATCCCTTACATACAACACTGTGCTTTCTGATGCCTGGGAGCTATTGCAGCCGCTTCCTTGAGAATGGCACCCAGGGCTCAGGACAATGATATTAATGATAGTTAATAAACAGAGCAAGAACACAAACAATTAGTTGGCTCTTAGAGTTCAGTGAAACACAGTGTAAGTATAAGGCAGACAGTAGGAGAGCAAAAACATGGTCTTTTTTTCACATCCCGTGTTTCCCTCTATGGTTTAGTCTGTCCACACTCACGGGTTTAGAAGTATGTCCCCCAGCTCAAAGTGTGGATGGTTTCTCTCTTGAGGAGCATACCCATTTGTATTTCAAATTTGCATTGGTGTATGGGAGGGATCTATGGGCGGGGGCAGAGGTCTGCCAGGGGAGAACTAGTATATGACTATGTGTGGGGTGGGTTACTTTCTCCCTTAGGAAGTTCACGACCAAGGTGGATCTCCACTGTGCAACAGAGTTCCTAATAACGTAAACCGCCAGCTGACCAGATTGGCTAAGTGGTGTCCTGTCCCTACCTGGCTTGATTACCAAACTAGCTGGATGTTTAGGAGGGAGGTATATGTGTTTCTTTCCAGAAAACACTCCTATGCAGAGCACAGCCAGATTGGCCTCAAAAGTGAGCTGACAAACTAGAAAAACTGGGTTTATTATACTTCGGAGTTGTTCCTTAAATGATAACCGTGACTAACAGGCATCAGTTGGCTTTTTCTGGTTTAACTGAAAGGCAAATTAAGCTTAACTTTGTTGTATTTTTCTTCTTATCCTAGAGATTTAAACTCCCTCATTTCTGGTCTATTATTTTGTAAATACCAATCAATCTATCTGTTTTTGCTTGAAACTTGATTTCTTCAAGTACACTCATTCAGCAGGTATATATTGTGTGTCTTCATATGAGTGAGAGAGTCTAGGTGTGTGGGTGTAAGAGAGACAGAAGGAGGGGGGCGGTGGGGAGTATGCGAGGGAGACAGAGGATGAGCACAGCATCCTTTCAGGAGCCCTGTATCCAGAAATGAAAACCATGAATGGGCTCTAGTGCATGAAACTGAGGTTCAATTGGATTAGGAAAAGTACTCTAAACACACTGAAAGGCTCTGCTGCCAGGCACACTGCTGGCTGGAGAATGCGGAACAAAGATAAAATTGTCAGAACATCCTGTCTCCACCTACACCAGGAAGGTCAAGTCTAAGATGCTTGTCCAAGGGCTCAGGTAAGCAGGGGCCCTGGCTGGCTTTTCCACATAGAGCCAGTTTTAACAGGGGTTGGTTTAGTCTCTCTAGATCTTAACCCACTCTTAGGTAAAATGCCTGCTTCCGCCTTGCTTTATTCTTCTTTCCCTCCCAACAGCCAGTGCCAGGCTGAGTAGAAAGTTGTTTGACCTTTCAAACAAAGTTAGCTAGCTCTTCCCTCAGTAGGGGCAGCTCCTCCCACCAGCTGCCTCTCCCTCTGAAGGCAGGGAAATTCTCCTAAGAATCGGGATTGGCTTTGAAGCCCAGATATCTTTGCACTCCTAGTTTGGATGTCTTCACTGGGTGGAAAACTAGCCAACCTGCCCAGCCTCTTGTTATTTCCGAACAGATTCTCTGAAGTTACAGGAGACCCAAGTGGTTTGGTAGATTTTGCATAAGCAATAAAACAGTGCATAAAACACACGGCCCAGCGTCACTTAATATACCTGCTTCCGCAGACGCTCTTTGAAGAAGCCTCAGCGGAGGGCATTGTAAACTGCTATGCACATTCGTATTCATGCCGAGCACAGCATGCACGGGTACAGCGGCCGAGTGCCGCACGCCTGGCGCCACCCGCCTCTGGCACTGTCTCCAGTCATTCCTCTGCTCCCGCCAACAAGTCCAAGAAATAGAAAAACATAAAAAGCTATTGTCCATGTCCAGTGAGAAATGAAATGCACTGGACCAAGTATCACAACTTCCTTAAAATAATACAACACTTCATCACTTGTGCATCTGGATCCCTCTTCGTGGTTTGCGAAGTCATAAAGCTCGAAATCGACATCCTGAACCATCACTGCTTTTTTTCTATTTAAATGCATTCCTTTAAAAAAGCAATTTATTAGCAGCTCTCTATGGTTTCACCTTATCTAAAAAAGCACTTAATTCAGTTCATCTCCTGCTTTGCTTTGTACTGTTGCAGGCAATCAGAAGATTGGAAGCAACGTATTAATAAGAGAACATGCCCCGAAGCTCTGGCCCATGAAAACAGCTCCTGAATCACAATGTAGCCACAACCCGAAGTTCACCGTGGACAGAAAGAAGTAATGACATATATCATAATTCTTTTTATTTGTAGGCTGATTCATCACAGATTTGGGTGAAACTCCTAAGTTATAGACAAGACCTTTTGTAGAATGCCCAGGGAAGGAAACGTATTATCCACTACCAGAAAGTCTCCTCTCCCCAAAATACAATCACTTCTACCACAATGAAAAAGTAAGGCAAGGAAGAATCCAGCCTAGTTTTTAAGGAGGGAATAACAGAGGGGGAAAATGGAGTAAATGGTACTGCCTACATAAAAGCTATAATCAATGATTTGGTTTGGGAGAAAAAAGCCAGACTTGCACAAGTTCCCTGAGTATTCATTGTGGATGACCTAATCATGCCAGAATCCCATTGCCTTAATAAAAATGCCTTCCCAGAATACGTCTCAACCCGCTCTACCCTCAAGCCTTCTCAAGGGAAGAAAGAGAAATGGACTGCTCAAGATGTTTAAGGCCTCAGGAAAAAAAAAAAAAAAAAAAAAAAACTCCTTTCTTTTCATCTGTAAAATTATAAATTTAAGATCTCTTCTAGCCTACAAAGTGCGTGATTCCTGAAAACCCTGGCCTATCAGTGATGCTAATCAGGGATGGGCAGCTGGGATCCTGATAAGAGCTTCAGGCATTAGGAATAGTGCATCCAAGTATCTCAGAATTCTTGTGTTAACACAAGCCAATTCAAGATCCCCTCATGGAGAAGCAGATTGACTCTTTGATAGACAATGGGTGGAAAGCCCAGCACTTGGCACATAGGTGCTTGATGAACATGAACTCCTTTGCCCTACAGTTCACTGGAATGATTTGTTCTTGGCACAGGTTTTTAGTCCAGCTCAGTAAATTGGCTAATCATCCCATGGAGTTTCAAGTTCACAAACCACCCCATCTTATCCCCTCCATAATTTAGGCATTTTCCCAACCTGAGCTTTCTCTTCAGTTCTTTGTATAAGCAGAAGGAAAGAGATCTCAAACTGAGAGGCGAAATGGATGAATTTAAAAAGTATTACCATAAGCAAAAGAAACCAGGCACAAAAGGCCACATACTGCATCATTCCATTTATATGAAATGTCCAGTAGAGGCAAATCCATAGAGACAGAAAGTAGATTAGCGGTTCCCAGATTAGTGACTGCTAATGGGTACAGGGATTCTTTTTGGGGGTGATGAAAATGTTCTGGAATGAAATATCTATCTGGAATTAGATTATATTTACAATTCTGTGAATATACTAAAAACCACTTTAAAAGGGTGAATTTTATGGAACCTAAATTATAGCACCAAAATTGTTATTAAAGAATGCCCCAAAATAGCATTATGATGATTGCAAAAATCCTAAGGAAGGCAAAGGACTTGAGTTTTAGTCCCACTGGATGTGTGGCCCTGAGCATATTGCTCAACCTCTCTGCATCTCAGATTCACCGGCTATTAGTTAGGATGTTTTCTCACTGTGAACCTTCAGGCTAATTACAAGGATCTTATTGTAAGGGATCAAAGGTTACATTCAAGGGCGCTCTCAGTCTGCAAAAGGAAGAAATAATATGCCAAGTAACCTAGGCTAAGACCTCTGAGTCATCTTCAGAGACAGGTAGAGATAGGTAGGAGATGAAGCAACTCTGTCAGGTTTCTACTTTCAGGATCAATTTCTAAAGATGGTTATAATGACAGCAATCCTCAGTGTCTTGTATCTCACAAGAAAACAGCTGGCCTGTTCCTATATTTTACAGGGGAGGAAGCTCAGCCCCTGGGACATTAAGTTACATCTTCTTGGGGAGCCTGGAACATGGGTGTTTTCTCTTCCAAAGGAGCTAAGTGGCCTTGCCACCCAGCTAGTAAAAACCCCAGGGGCTGGGTATTGAATCCGTAAATAGTGTGATAATACTATGCCATGTTTGGGACTTAGAACCTAAGACATTCAATCATTTTAGAAATTTGAAATAAAAAAGAAAGGAAGGGAGGGAGAGAGGGACAGAGGAGGAAGAGGAGAGAAAAAGACTCAGGAGACAGGCAAGAAGAAGAAAGCAGGGGCAGAAGGGGAAGAGGGAGATAGAGGAAGCAGGCTGTAGATTTAGATCTTTCTGTTTCAGGAATATACAAGGGAAGCAGATTTCCTTTTCCAAGTTCAAAGGAAACGGTGTGTTTTGTTTTCATACTCCGTTTCATTTTTCACTTGGGAAAAAAACCCAGCTTTGAAGCCTCTCTGTTTAAATTCATTAGGAAAACCAACAACGATGGAAGCTTTCAGGAAATTGTAGTGGGAGGAATTAGTGTTATGGGAGAGCTGGATCAATCTTCAAACATTTTAGCTCTGGAGTTGGGAGGTCCGCATTGGCTGCTTGTTCAGCTGGAAAGTTAACATAAACAAATGCTTCACTTACTGTAGAGTCCAAGGGACTAATGACACTTGATATTTACTTTCCAAATACTTCCTTAACAGCCAGCTATACCTGCCACCTGAAAAAGATGGATGCTTCTTGAGAGCTAAGTGACCAAAGTGACCAGCAGAATGTCTCGCCCCGAAGAAAAAGGTTCTTTTAGTGGCCTGCCAGAAAGGAGGTAGTGATATTGACATGCACTGCACAGAATCTTTTCCTGTGTCATTCATAACCTGATCAAGTTGGACATGGAAACCTTTTCAGCATGGCTGTGTTAATGTTTGAGGAGATCCTTCTTGGCATCTGAATCTTTCTTAAAGTGTTGCAACCTGTTGGACTCTCCTTAGCAAAGTTAAAATAGGGCAATTTGTTTTTGACTTCTGTTTTTCACTTCATTCTCAGAGGATAGTCCATAGCACACGTGATTGATTCAAAATGGATTTGAGGGTGACAAAGTAACCACTACAGGTGGGATGCAGGAGAGGACAGTGAAGACGACGGAGGAGAAGAAATGATATGGGGCAGACAAGAGGGCACTGGAAGATTAACAGATACTACTGATGCTCTTAACAAAATCGTTCTGGGAAAAAAGTTAGAAAATGTCTTCGTGCATACAGTGTAATACAGATTAAGCAATTTATGATCTGAATGTCTGCAGAGAAGGATGACTTTTTATTTTTCTGATAAGAATTATATAGGTGTATGCAAATGAATACAGGCAAAACTGTAAAAATATACACACATTCATGGATATGCCATTGTGTGTGCATCTGGGTGCACAAACATGCATATGTGCACCTTAAATAAATGAATCCATGTGCAAAGGAATTATGATATAATATTGATTAGCAGACTTCTTCCTGACAAGTCTACCCCAAGGACAAACTAGAGCCTATTTTTTTTTTTAATTGTGGTGAAATAAGGAGTGCATAGATATAAGAACACAACAGGCCACAGTTAGCTTTCCATTTCTACAATGGAAACTATAGTGGGTGACTCCTTGTTTTAGGGACATCAGGTCCTCACTTGCTATCCCTTATTTAGCTCGTAAGAAAATAAGGCATAAAATTAATCTATCCAAGGCATGCAACCATCCCTGCCCAACTTAATGAGTGACTAACTAATCCAAAAGGAAAACAGCCATTACTTATACAGCCATAACGTAGATGCAACATGGCATATAAATCAGTAACTCTTGTATTGCAAAACAGACAAATAGATTAATGCATGTTGCAAAAGATGGGTGAAGAGATCGATTAGGTTACTGATTCAGACCATGAACTTTCTCTCAATATACTGCATTTAACTTTTAAATAAGGTTTAGGAGAACCTGTAACATTTTGCTCACTGACAGAGCTATATTTTACTTAGGGCAGAAATTGGCTAGTCTATAAAAATTAAATTATGCCCCTTTCACTGTATCTAGTCAAGAGGAAAAACTCTAATTACAAGATTGCACTGTCAAACAAATGCAAATTCACATTCTTTATATCCTGGTTTAAAAATTCATATGGGGGGAGCTTCTATTTTGAAATGAGAATCAATATTTGAAATATTTTTAGGAACGCAGTGATAAGCAAGAGCAAAAGAAATGTCATTATCAAGGGTGCTGGTAAGTAGAAGCTAACTCATTAAGAGCAGAGCTTGCTAGAACAAGTCATTCGTTATGCAAACATTTAAATATCAATTAGTAAGGACAATGAATGAAGGCTCTCCTTCCCCACAGCCTGGTGCCTTATAACTCCAGAAATGACCAAGGGGACAAAAAGCAGTGGAAAATCTCTGCACCTAATAGGAATGCCACTCTGGGGAATAGGTAAAGGTTAATTTTAAATGTACTTCCCAATTGAAAATTAAATGTACCTGCCTCCAAATTCATAAAAGCTGAGTTTGCAGACTTAATCCAGAAAGGACTAACTAAAGACCTAGGCATATTGCATCGCTGGTGTTTTTTGGAAAGAGAATGCCTTTCATCACTGCTTAATGTCAAACTGGCTTGGTTCATTAAAATCTCTTCGTCTGTTAAAACTGTGCTTTTCCTCGACCTGTGAAAAAATGCCAATCCATACAGTGCTCAAACTTTAAAAATCCTACTGGTTGGTTCTCATATTCATTTAATATCAATTTCACGGCCTGTCCAGTCAACCAGTTCACCAAGCCCGTAAGGTGAATATGGTGGACATGAAAACCATTTAAATATTTAGCACTTTGCTTGCATTATCTTCTCAGGCAAACCTGGTGTTATATTTTGCTAGAAGGTGCTGGCTCAGGAAAACAGGTGCATCTTGGAGAAAGTCTTCTGGTGGACATAGACCAGAAGCGGAACTTTTCTGGCTGTCGTTTCCCTCCTCTCCAACACAAACAGGTTTTTCCAGACTTAGGGGACCCCACAGTCACTTGGGGAGCTTATCAAAGACCCACGGCTGGGTAGATCACAGACTAACTGAACTGGCCGCTTCAAGAGTGACGGGAGACATATGGATTTCAACAAAACTTCCAGGAAAAATCTGACGTGCACCCTGAATTCTGAGTCAATGGGCCTTTTCAGTTTTCATGCACTAAGATTTTCAGAACAGGTTAGTGATCCAATGAAAATAATAATTCTAACTTCAGTACCTAATACTATTACGTAACAGGTATGACCTTCTTTCTCCAGAGTGGAAAGACTGAAACTGCAGAATTAATCACTGGTGCATGAGGGGTTAGGGAAACCAGGACCGCAAAAGAGGACTACTGGATTTCATGAGACACTCTGTGTAAGACCCAGGCAAGTAGCTGCTGTGTTCCCATGTTCCCATGTAGCCCATGTTCCCAGGACTGTGATGCTTGCATTCCATGTGGTCACTTAACAATCCAAGTCTTAGCTTGGCTCTCCATCCCTGTCAGCATCAGGAGGGTTAAGTGTCATGTCTATTCATTGGTCTAACAAGTACATGGAGACAAAAATCCAAGTACCTCGGAAGGAGCAGATCCCCAAACATTGCTCTTTTGACACAGGAGCATGCATTTGGCTAACTTTACTGAATTCAGGCTTAGAATGTGTGTCCTTCCCCCTTATAACAGGCTTTTCTTTGGAGTCCAAACTGTGTCTGTTTTCTAGACTTCTCAATTGGTATTGCTTTATTATTTCACTCTCTGTGTACCCTTTGGCCTATGGTCTATGGCTGGAGGAACCTAGTTTGGAGAGAAGGTATCCACTTGATCCAACTAATAGCAATTTCAGCCCTGGAGACTCTCTGTGCTAAAGGTTCCCCTAGGTAAGACAGGCATTATAATGCCCCCTCTGCCTTTTTTTTATAATGTTGTTCAGAGGACAGAATAAAGCAAGATGAAGAACACCACTATGAAAATGGAGTGTGTGGTATTTGTCTTACATATACTTCTAGAGAGGAAGAAACATCTTTCTGAAAAAGGACATCTCTTCTGGCTATAGTTTGGGTTGTATCTTTTTCTTTCCTTGTCTCAACCATATCCCAGCTCATAAAACATGATACCCAGGTAAGCATTGGCCTAGAGGATCCAGAGGAAGTTCCTAATGTGTCCACAGTTTATCCCTATTTTTTTTTCTGGCTCTAAATTACCATTTGAAAGAAAGCTGCAAATATTTGGCAAAAAACAAAAACAAAAACAAAAAAAAACAAAAAAACAAAACCCAAAAACAAAAAAAAACGGTAAAGCGTTCAGAGTGATTCCAACTAAAATTGCAGCAGTACCTCTGGAAAAAGGGCAGATTTTACAGGTAAAATCCTCAAGAATGAAACACAAGGAGAAAAGAAACAACTTACGAAAATCATAGTTATCAATCTTAGCTACAGAATTGTCACTAAATTTTATTTTGCTTTTGTAACAGCCCGAATCCCATGACAAATGACAGAACAATGCATGCTGCTTTTCTTGGGACAAATTATTCTTGAGAGCAATTATGTATCAGATTCCCCAAGAGAGCGCTTTCCGTGGAAAGAATCCACACCTAATGACCTAAAAAGAACAGCTTTTATAACTGCGCACACATACCCTCTCGCCACACATTGATGAGCTAGATATCTGCTCATCAAATATCTGTGCGGTTAGTAGCAAGGTATTTCCAGGCCCTTCTCTGAGAAGAAACTACTTTTCCAAGGTGCTGCCTTTAAAACTGTAGCCTTTGCATTCATTTGCTAGTAGGTTAAGAAAATCACTTGACAGATTTAATCCCTTCAACCAAAAGCTCTGGGGGGCTATGCAGTTCAGCCAACAAAAGAGGAACAGAACTTCGGTTCACTCCATATCATTCACCACATGATGCGATTTCCCCTCTTGTTAATATCCTGAAAATGGCAAGGTCTAGCATTATGGGTTTGACCTTGGAATTCAAAGTAGAGTTCCATTCCTTTCCCCAAAGTTCCAGGTGCACTTGTAGGGGACTTTGATTTCTGGTAAGGCTATTGGGAGTGGCTGGGAGTTCCACATCAGGGAGAAAACTCTGGTCAGCTGAAGTAAGTGAGGTTTGCTCTCACAGGATGCCCTCCTTCTCCACATAAAGCCCAGCACCCTTCATCAGCCAGCTAGCAGCTAAGCTTGTGGGGCTGGAAACTACATTCCTTTGAACAACTTGGCAATTGGTGCCTGGGATTTGATGCAGTAGCTCTAAAATTAAATAAAGGTCCTGTAGTGTTCTGCTAAGAAATATGGCGTGGCTCTATGACAAAACACATTTTTCAAGCTCTGACCTCTGGGAACTTCAACTAGCTTCATATTTCAGGCTGACACTGCTCACAGGCTACTGTCTAGTTGCCCAAGCCGAGCTGGTTATCCATATATTTTCCAGCCTCCTGATCAGCTTTTAGCAGAGAGAGATGAGGGGAGTAAATAAAAAGAGGAGAGCCACTAATTTAAATGCACTTCCCCTCCAGAGTCCCTTGGGGAGAAGCCCTGGTAATTAACTCTAATGAGATTAACTTGGAACTCTTCCTTTTGCCAGCATTGTAAAAGTAAATCTGTGGTAACCAGTGTGTGTGTGTGTGTGTGCATTAAATCAAAGTCAGTCCCCTTTCTTGTAATTTAATGCCCCCCCGGCCCCCCACCTCCCACTCCTACCCCTACCCCAGGCTGGAGGCAGGTGAGCGCTGCTTGGTTCTTACCCGCACTTTGCTCCATCACTTCTTTCTGACACATGTCTTGAACATTCACCGTGCAATTCACTATAAACTCAGGGGAGGAGCAGTCGTTGTTCAGCTGGAATTCTTCACATTGGTAACACTGGATTTGCAGCGCAAAGCCTGTGGGGACAGAAGCAGTCGGATTTAGATCCAGCCCTCACAGAGACCACCCCAGAAACCGCGGCCCTCCTCTGCCCCAGCCAGCCACAGATCCCGACCTCTGGGGGTCCTTGGGCTCGGCACCCCTGGGTCTCCAAGAAAGGCGTATGCGGCTGAAGCCCGCAGCCGGCGGCGCGGACACCGAGGGTCCTGCAGGACAAATGAATTCTGCCGGCGACCCCCAGACCAATGCTCCAGAAACAAGAGAGCCCGTCCGACACCACACCTGGCCCTTCCGCCACGGAAGTTGAGAGGCCGGGTACACAACTCGAGAGCGAAGTAGCTCCAGAGACATGCTTCAGCTCCAGTGTACAGCTAAGGATTTGCCTAATTGTTAATTGGTTACAAATTGCTTAATTACTGTTTTGGCACCATTCGCGGTTGCATTTGCAGACGCCTTTTTAGTTTTAGTTTTTGTCGTCAGCGTTCCTGTGCTGTGGCTCCGAGGCTCCCTACGCGACCACCCAGGAACCCAGGAGGAAGTGCCAGACGCCAAGTGCTGCTGTGCCCCGAGTCCCCGGCCTTTCTTCG